AAAAAATATATATATAGTTAAATTTTTAGGAATATCATAGCTAAATTAAAGCTATATTGAAATTTGTAAAAAGAATTTTTGAAATTGTTTAAAAATAAAATAAAATGGAATTATTGAAAAGAAGAACATATCTTTTTTTTTTAAATCAGTTCAGCTTTAACGAATCCTGAGGTCTAAAATATGGCCTTTATCTACATAATTATGTTAATTATTTATTTGGTTTTAGCTTTACATGATAAATATTTAGCTCTAAATGATATTTAACCTGTATCCTCAAAAGCTATTGCCCTGTTCCCCCAAGACCAATTCGAATGTTCTTATCGGACTATTTTAAATCATATAAATAATGCATATTCTATATGCTAATACATATTCTATAAGCTAGATATATATACTATATAATTCTAGAGAGATTCGGTACTCACTTGTAGACCATAGCATTGTCGCACGTATCGTTGAACGCGTAGTCGAAACGGAATTTGTGATTCTCGAGGAATTTGGTTAGGTCGACCTTGTTGCGCGGCTCGTGGACCATGAGCATATCCTTGCGCGGCACGGATATGACGTCAATCTCCTTGCGATTGATCTCTTTGCGGCTGAGCGGACGCTTGCGCACACAGACTGTAATCTGATGATCGTCGACCACTTGGCCATCCAATAGCGGCACAAATTCCAGGGTATTCTGATACTCGCGTATCATTTGTGCTGTCTCCCAATTGGGATTTCCTGGATCCTGATTCATCAGTGCCACCTTCTCCTCCTTGATCTCGGCCTGGCGAGCGCGACGCTTCTCGCGATTCTCCTTCAAACGCTCCACCTCCTTCAGGGCGTGGCTGCGACGAGCGCCGGCAGCTGTTGAGTTATTCGAGTTGTTTGTGGTGCTGCTGCCGCCGCCGCCGCCGCCACCCGCAGCAGCAGCTGCAGCTGAGGCGGCCGCCGTTGCTGCCGTTATCGAGGTGCGCTCGTTCATCAAATTGTTGCTGTTGCTGTTGCTGGACACCGCCGATGCGATGCGCGTCTGTGCATTGCTATTGAGCTGCATGTGCGCATAACGGGGCCGCATCATACCGCCCGTGGCCCCGACGCTGCTGCTATTGTTGCTGGCGCCCACCGAGCCGGAGGTCATGTTGCCAACGCTCTGGCTTGTGCCCAACTGTGCGCCCATCTCGCGATTGCTAGCCTCGCTGATCTTGTTCAGCTGTGTGCCGGTCATGGTCATACGTGCAGTTGAGCTGCCGCCACTGCCACCGCCGCCGCCTCCGGTGCTGCCGCCGCCAATGGCCGACTGTGTGGGATTGCGTGAGAGATTGTTGGGGGCTGTGGCCTGCTTTTTGGGCTCCGGCGCTGTGTGATGCATTTCATTGGGATCGCCCATGGCCAACTCTGGATTCAGTGAGAGTATGGCCTCTAGCTCCACCTCCTTGCCCTTTGTCTCGCCGCGCTCATACCACTCGACGGTGATGCAGCGTGCCGATGGATTCAGTTTGGATACAACGGCACCATGGACGCGGCCGTCGGTGCGTTTGATCTTAACGCTCTGTCCGATGTTGATCATGTCCATTGATAATGGTCTTACAGTTGTAGATGATGATGTTCGTCTTCTTCTTGTTTGTTTGTGTTGATGTATGTATTTAATACTTGCTCAGGCTTATACTAAAGACCTTGCTGCGATTTATATATGTTGTTTCTGTTGTTGTTTATGTTGAATCAAATCCAAATCCAGATTCGCGATTATTGTGTGTGCGTCTTCACTCTCCCTTTCGATCTTTCTCTGCATGGATAGAATAGATATTTACATTAGTATTATTATTATTATCTATAAACGTAAACACACATACAAATAAATTTTGTTATTATATATTAGAGTAAACTCCGTTAAGCAAGATATTACTTTTTTTGAATTAGTTCAATTTAATTTTGTTTTTCTTGAACTTTAAATTGTATAAATTTGGAAATATATAAAAAATATTTTTTTTTTATTTGCTTCTGTGTTCGTCCGTACAAAAGTCGAAAATGAGGCAAATTGTCAAATGCTGCTCAGTGTTGTGTTCCAGTGACAGTGCAGTCAACGCTTACTCACATCAAYTGCTGCTGCTGCTGCCTGGTTTCCAACAACAATAACAACAATAAACTAAAAATCAAATAACAACGTTCGAAATGCTGAAGCGAGACAGCAATATATCAAAAATGGCTGCTGCTGTTTGCCGCCTAGCTGCTGCCGCTGCTACGGAATGACTACTGCTTTGGCTTTGGCTTTGGTGTTGGCTTCTTCTATGTCGAGGTCGCAAAATAAACGGCGTCGTTCAGCGCGCCTTTGCATGTGTGCGTGTGCGTGTGTTTGTGTATGTTTTCACACAAAATTCAAATGCCCAACTGTCGCTTCGCTATCGATAACAGCAACAAAATCAGACATATGCATTTAAATATATACACAGATTTATAAGTTCCTACACACACACACTCACAACTACACATATGCTTGTATGTTTGTAAATTTATATGCAGCGACGCGGCGTTAGGCTTTGCCCAATTGTAATTTGTGCGCCGATTTGATTTTTGCATGCACTTAGAGCGGCGTTGTGCAACACTGTTAACGTATGCGGCACATAGCGACAGTGACACAAACTCACACGCATCACATACATATGTAACTTGCACACTTCCACACAGACGCAGGCTCTCTCATACATGCATGCCTGCATATATGCATATAAGGCGCGTGTAAAAGTGCCAAAAACACTCAAAACAGCCGCTAATCAATGCCAGCAGCTTTACGTTGCTAATTACACATACACTCACACACACTCTATAAACTACATATGTATATAGTTTGTATGTCTTGTTACGCTGTTGTTGCGGCCACAGCAGCAGCAGTAGCAATAGCTTTACGTCATGCAGTAGCTGACGGCTGCGGCTCCCACATAGAAAAACATTCGTATTCGCACACACATATACATATGCATATTGACAGCAGCAAAAGACATTGGGCTTCGCAGGCCATCAGGGCTTTCATGCACATGCACACGAACAAACACACACATAAATACATACACGCATATCTCTATCATATACGCGGAAATGAAATTGTAATTTTGCTAAACTTCTGCTGTTTCTGCTGCGACTCCGACTGAAACAGCGGCGGCGGATGGCGTTGCACCAAATACAACGTGTAATATACGCTCACCTCGACACACTCGCTGATTTGAACACACGCGCTGCTTCGTCTTCAAAAACTATTTAATAGCACAATCCATAAAATTACTAAAAGATTCGATTTTAATATTTTTTGGAATTAATCACAACTAGATATCACAAGAGTGTGTTCGAAATAAATTTACAAAGCGACCAGATGTCAACAACAGAATTTTAGTTCAGAGTTTGCTTCGCCATTGTTTTTTTTTTCCTTCTCTTCTTTTAGTGCCAGCCAGTCATAGCGTGTATTTTACAGCACTGGCGCGCCGACACACGGCTGTCCGTTAAAATCAAATAAGTACATAAAATGCGTACTGAACGAAAGTAAACATTATTTTTACAATTATTTTTTTCAAAGCATTTTAAAAAAGACTAGCAATAGAAGTCTTTCCATATGCATACTCAAGTCAATTCAACTAACTTTAAGCGCAACAGCTGCTTTACAAGACGTCTGGTATGTTTTGGTATTTCTAGGCATTTCATGGAATGACAAGTGCATACACGAGTATATATCGATATGCCGATATCAGGAAAAACACTAACCCTGTGTACATGTTTGTTTGTGGTGGTTGCAATAGATTTGTTTGTGCGTAGAAAGCGTAAATTATTGCAACGAAAAATCTAAACGTAAAAATTTTGCACAACATAAAACGAGTGTCATTTGCAAATCATATACGGTTAGTAGTAACAATTAAAATTAACTAAATGACATGCACTAGCAATTGACTGATATTAGCGAAATACCAATAGCAGCAGCAGCGAAGCAGCAGAATGGACATCATGGACATACAGGCTGTCGAATCGAAGCTAAGTGACGTCACAGTGACACCAATACCGCGCTCGCAGGTGCAAAACTTCTACAACTATCAGCAGCAGCGCGAACAGCGCGAGCAGCAACCACAAATCCAAATCTCTGCTATACATCATTCGCGCAGCGGCGGCAACACCAGCGCTGGCAGCGCTGCCAGCAACAGTGACTATGTGAACAACAGCGGCAACAGCAACGCCATCAGCAGCAGCGGCGGTGGCGGTGGCAGCAAACGTGATCGAAACGCATCGAGCAGCGCTGCAGCCACCGCAGCTGCTGCGGCCGCCGTTGCCGCATTGCAATATTCGCCGCAATTTCTGCAGGCTCAGCTCGCCCTGCTCCAGAAGCAATCGAACACCACTGCCACACCGTCCGCTTCGTCTGCCGCTGCAGCAGCGGCGGCGGCTCTATCCCTGGCCAACATAGCAGCGGCCAGCAATGGACGTAATCTCTCCAGCACCAGCACGAACAGCAACAACAACAGTAACAATAATAACATCAACAGCAACAGCAATGGAAATGGCAATGGGAATGCTGTCAACCTCAATCTCGGCCTGAATCTGACACAATCCCAGCTCAAATACCCGCCCCCATCCACATCGCCGGCAGTGGTGACCACCCAGACGTCGGCCAATATCACCACACCGCTGACCTCCACCGCCAATCTGCCGACAGCGGGCAGCGTCGGCAGCAATGGCCTGAGCAAGTACGCCCAGCTGCTGACCGTGATCGAGGAGATGGGCCGTGATATACGTCCCACATATACGGGATCGCGCAGCTCGACGGAGCGACTGAAGCGTGGCATTGTCCATGCCCGTATCCTGGTGCGCGAGTGCCTCATGGAAACGGAGCGTGCGGCCCGTCAATGAGAGGAGGAGGAGTGCGGCATGCCGCAGCTAAAGTCACCCGATTAAGCTACACACTAGACTACACTAGATTACTACACTACACTACACTACAATCAGAGAACTCTACATTGCACTACACAAGACACGCACTCAACATGGGCATGGTGAAAAGGAATCTAGCATTTAAGTGTGACCAGACTCTTGTGACGATTCTATTCTTTACTTTTTCTTCTATTTCTTTTCGTTGCAATTTCATGAATCGATGGATCCTTGAGCAATGTTGTCGTCTATATATGAGATCGATCCGTGACCAAATCGACCCCAGACACAGCATGCTCAAGCCCGTCGATGTTTTGGCTATGATATTTGCTTTCACTGTGCCTGCTAAAAGTAACGAGTTAAAGTAGCGGATAGCGAGTTATTGACTCTGCTCGTTAGCTTTAACTGATTATTGCTTTGACTTATTATTTAAGTGTATTATTATGATTATAACATTTCATTATTAAACAATAGCGAATTCTAACTCTTTTTCGTTTTTAATTTTAGTTCTTGCATTATTTTTGTTTGGTTTTGTTTCTTTTTAAGATCTACAAAACTGGCAAAAGGATTGCCGTCGGACCATAGTTAAAAATGTTTAGACTAGCTCAGGTTATATATATATACATATGTATGTGTGTATGTTATATACAGTATACAATATATATAAGTATATATCTCATATTCATGTGCATGTACGCACATGTATACAGATTTGAGGCGAGCCACAAATAGCTTCACATTTTCTATACATATATATGTATATGCATATATATCTATATCTATATGCATAAGCCTAGGCTAAGTTTCACCTGCGTGTATTGTGTGTTCCAGACGTTGATGTTGTACAGCTTTAAATAGGACACTCGAAATGCATACATGCATACATACATATATCTATATACATATATGTATGTAAGTACATCAGGACAAATTGCACGGATATTTTAGATATATATAGATGCCCATATATGCATAATATACATTTGTTATATAGAGTACGGATCTGTCTGCAAATCATATATATATACATACAGATATATCTATATACGAGCATATATAATAAGTTCAAGCGTGTATACCAGGCCGAAGAATCGAATAAACTGATTTTTTTGGTTTTTACAAAATAAAACACAAATAATATATATTATAACAGTTTCTACTTACCTCTTTAGGACTTGCGCTCAAGACACATTTTGTTGATATAATTTGAATGGTAATTGTATCTGTTTTGGTACAAATCTAAACTTATTTACGGTTAAAAATTTAAAAAGAAATAATTCTGTTTTTGTAAAAAATGAAAAAATATGAAAAGTAATTTCCTTTACGAATTTACAATGGAAACTAAATAGAAGCTCAGACGTTTGGGCTCAGGCGTTCTGAAAATGACATTTAAATCAATGAATAAATGATCCGTTAGGCATTCAAAAAAAAAAAAAAAAAAAAAAACATATCCAAACTGGACAAAAATACATCGAAGCTTTGCTACCTAAATCATTTTTGTGATTCGGTATTTTTTAGCGCATTCATGCAATATGCAATCAAAACTTATCGAAAGTGAGCCCATTCGATCTAACAGAACTTATCGAAATTGTGGCAATCGCTGCGTTTGGCCAGACTTGTTGATTATTGAACTTTTCAAAATGTTATGGTTTTTGCATTTATTAATTTTGTATTCTTCTATGTCTATAGTCTTAGATCCTTCTCTCCACAATCGAAGTGGGGACAGCATAGGGGAAACGGTTTTGTGGTATCCTCGACCATCTTGCAGGGCTTTAGGGTAGCCAGTGCTGGGCAGCTATCAGAGCGAAACATATTTTACAGGGTATACATACAGCTGCGTACAAAAGTTCACTTACGTTTTGCCCGTAATGGCACCACCTGCCTGACAGGTGAACTGTACGCACTGCCCAGGCGGCGAATAGCTCTCACCCACCTTCAAATTCTGTCCACCAAATTGGCAATCTAATAAGAATGTATTCCATATACTATGTAGGTTGATTTAAGTCCTGAAGAACAATTCAGCCACGACTTACCGCCCAGCACCAGCAGCGAGTGGGCGCCCAGCACCACAATAAGCAGGACAATTGTCTCCGTCTTCATAATGAGAAATCGTTAGCGTAAAGCTCAAAATTTGAATTGAAACTGAATGCTCCGCCTTCGAACCAAGTCAATTATATAGCTCTATAGCTATCAGCTAAATAGTGTCTGGTTTATCAGATTGATTAGCGGCTGTGACCTGGGCGACGATTTAGCAGAGGTCGCTCGAGTCGCTGATAGACTCGATTGCGAGTGAAAACTAATTATTGAAACGGATTTATATAGATTATACATATATATACATATATATTTCTATAGAAGCCATCTGTTGTCAAATTTGGGTATTTACAGTTCAGTACTTTGATTCAAGTCTCCTCTGATTAATCGCAATGATATACGTATGTATATAGCCTTGTCTAGTTTAAAGATGTTTATACATCTAAGTCAAAAAGTATAAAATTTACTTCCAATTGGACATCTTCCACATGATCGTCGCACCATATATATTTACCTATTTATATGCCCATTAAAAATGCGTTTTCTGTGTCAGGTTTGAGTGTTTCTCGAGATATCTCAGGCGAGCTTTACAATTCTACTCAATTGCCTGCGTTGTCTGTTACACATCTAATCAGACAATAGCACGCCAATTGGAAGAGCCAACCGCTTGTCACTTAGCTTTAAGCTAAATGTGTCAATTCAATTTACATGCAGTTTTTGGACGATATCCAATTAGACATGTTTAATATGATTTGGAGTATATATATGAATATATCTAAAATAATAATTTGTTGATCTAATCTGATAATTTGCACATCTATTCTAATTGGAATGGTGTCGTTTAATAATATGAAATCGCTTAAATACAGCCCAAGAGTTTTAATCACCTCCAATTAGGTTATTCCAATTGGCACCTGCCTCATGGGTCCAACTACTTTACAGTTTATTTTAAATATAGTAAACTAAATTGGATTAGCAATTATCAAGGCTATCCAATTAGATCTATTTGCAGAGGTACATTCCAATTGGAATGCCAACTGAAAAGACTTTGGTATCCTCATATTTTGTAATATAAATATAATTTTTATAACAACATATACATATGAATTCTAATTGGATATGGGATATATCATTTGCTTGGACAGATGCGCATGGCACAGCAATCCGGATAAGGCTTCGTATAGTCGTTGGGCGTGAAATAACAGCCATCCGCCAATTGCATGCGATCGCAGCTAAAGATATATAGATGTAGATTGGATATATGTACATGTATATATAGGTAAGATATAGTCGCCTGATGCCTCGACTTACTGCTTGATAATGAGCACATAGTCCTCCCGGCAATAGACCTTGGCGCAAAAGTCAAATTGATCGACGGGATAGACGGTTCCATTGCGGGGCACAGCCAACTTGAGCTCCGCATAGAAGCAGTGATCAGGTAGAGCTAAAGTGGATATATATATGAAGATATATACATCTGATCTAGTATCAGATATGAGTATAGCCAGGGACTCACTTGGATGCTTTGTATTGCCCCTGTACTGCGTGCTGAAGCCTTGCAGCTCACCCGCCAGCATTAGGCATATTCCAATTGGAATCCAGCACATTTCCAGTTTGCGCATCTTCAAGTTCCAGCTCAGCTGCGACTCGACAGTGGGAACTTTCGCTTTATAAGGCAACAGATCTGACACTGAGCATCGCCAGCTCAACTTATCAGCTCTTTAAATCGTTTTTCTCGTTTAATTTGCTGCTGTTCTCCGAGTTTTGTTTGTTTGTTTGTTGCGAAAATATTGTTTATATATGTATGTTTGTGTATATATGTATATAAATGGATATAGTATAATATGGTTTTGTTTCGTAGTGCTCACTGGGTTTTAGCCTAGTGATTATTCTATTGTGTCTGTTCACATAAAACAGTTTCTAGTTTATGAATCAGGCAGAATAGAGGGAGAGAATGTGTGTGGGTGAGAAATGAAAGAAAGATACAGAATGAAAGACAGAGTGAGAGAGAGAGAGTCTGGGAGAGACCGTAAGGACAGATATCGAGATATAGAATGCGAGAGAAAGAGAGAGAGAGAAGGAATTATTCAGACAGGAAAAGAGAGGACAAGAAGCAAAGAGGGGGGGGGGGGGGGACAGAAATAGCGAGAGGTAGAGAGAGATAGAGCAAGAGAGAGGGTCTAATAGGAACACACATATCGAAAACAAGATATAAAAGAGAGAGAAGGAGACAAAGGACAGATATCAATAGAAAATGGGAAAGACTAAGAGAGAGAGAGAGAGAGAGAGAGAGCGAGAGAGATAGAGCGAGAGAGAGGGTCTATTAAAAACACATATCGAGAACGAGATAAACGAGAAATACCAACACAAAATAGGCAAAGACTAAGAGAGAGAGAGAGAGAGAGAGAGAGAGAGAGAAAGAGAGAGAGGGAAAAAGAGAGTGAGAAAGAGAGAGAGATAGGGATCAATTCAACTTTCAGATTACTCATATTTCTGTCAATATCGCTATTTCTATTTAATACTACTACTAATTATTTTCACTATATCTTGCTCTCTATTTCTCTCTCTAGATCTATTCTAGATCTATTAGCTTCTACGTTTACACCACACATTTAAATCATAGAACTTTCGTTGATTTTTCGTTTCCTTAACTCTTTTAACACACAATTTGTACGTTACCTATTCTATATGTATATATACTTATGTATATATTTATATATATGTATATACACTGACATTGTTCGGGTGATGAATGTCTATAAATCATAATAAAACTTTGAGCATTTCTATTCTCTCATCGACCTGTTATTGATGCCGGATTTCCCATTGTTTTTGTTGCTGTTTGATACCCTAAGATCTTTGAAATTGACTAGAACGGGTATATAGGTTTTTGTGCAAGTGCAAATGCTGCAAGAGACAAAAGAATGACCATGACTTATAAATAGAACTTTTCACTCTCTCTCTCTCTCTCGTTCTCCCTCTCGTCATACGTTCTATATATATCAGCCTTGCTGTTCATTCTCCTTTAATCTGCAGCCTCACCTCTGATTTCAAGGCCAGACTTATAGCAAAAGTTTGCTCAATGGGCGTTTATACATTTAAATCCCATTCAAAATTAAGCAGTCGAAAATCAAGGTACGTATATATTTATATACTTCATATATAAACATATAGAATTCAAGCTGATAAGACTTTGTTGACCTTGCCACAGCAACTGGGACAGCGGCAGTGCAGCCAATTTAGCCATTTTCCCGCCATAGTCTACTTGGCTTCAACTGACTTTTGCAGATTTTCATTTCATTTATTTTACATATAGTAACCAAATATGCCCGTTATGCCTCTATAAGCAGGGAATGCGAATCAAATGAAGTCAATTGATAATAAAACCTGTATTTAATCATTCTGAAGGCGAGCAACAGGGCAACTGCTAGTCGAGCTTATTTTTACATTGCATCGCGTAGTCAAGTTCATCTTGATTTCGTTTATTTCTAAGATCTAACAAACTCTCACATCAAATGAGATATCTGGCAGACGATCATGCTAGTGAGCATGATACTCTAGAAATGCCCATTGCGCTAATGTTTTTCTCTACTCTAGGTGATTTACATTGCATTTCAATCAATATGCCACTTTTTAACGATTTGTAGTCATGTTACAGGGTATTAGATAGTCGACCATGACTATCTCAAGTTTAGTTTTTAAAAGTAAAACCTTTTTGATTCGCTTTATAATCAAGCGAAGCTAGCTTAACCAACTTTTTTTTCTCTTAACAGGGTATCTACCAGTCGAGCATATCAACTCAGCTCTAATTTAATATAAAATAGTACTTGGCTCTCAGTTTTGATAAATAAAAATTGCAAGCCGTCTGCATTTAACAGGATATCTAATGGTCGACTATACCCTCTGGTTTGGCTATAGCTTACTTTTTTATAGCCAACAAAAATTTATTTTGCTTTATAATCAATGAGAGTTGATTTAAGATTGGTTCCTCATTTTTTGCAGGGCATCTGCTAGTCGAGAATGTCCACTGGCGTAGCTGTACTGTAGTTGGATATGACAGAAATCGTTTACCGTTCATATTTAATCCATACGTCATACCTGAGCGAACTGATAGCTCTTTACAGGGTATCTGCAAGTCGAGCAGGCCCGCTGCCTGAACTATCGCTCAGTTAAGTATATCCACTACATTTCAGTTTTGTTTCTCGTTCTCTCTCTCTCTCTCTCTCTCTCTCGATCTCATTGATCTCCCAGGTCGTGCAGGGTATCTGCCAGTCGCGCATGCCAGCTTCGCTCACTTGTAGTATTTACTCTTTCAAGTAGTCTATTTAGTTGTTGACGCCCCCGCTTCAATGGACTCTCGCTTTCAGGGCTGGCGGCTTGTGCTTAATTAATGCAAACTAGATCAAAAGCAACAACAATAACAACAACAACAACAACAACAACAATGACAAAAGAAAGACAAAAGCTAAAGCATATGTATGCCCCATATTCGGATACAGCTACATAGATACACAGATGCACAGATACAGTTACAGCCGAGCTTTATTAATTAATTTTATATAAAAGCAACAACAATTAATTGCAATTGACTCAGTCGCACGTTCGGCGTCCGCTAAGCAACTTTATCTTTGCCTCTTTCCTTCGGCTTTGTGTTCGCTTCCTCTTCTCCTGCTTCGTCCAGTTCGCCAGCCATGGTAATACCCATTAGATCTGGACTGGGCATTGGTTGCCATGGCGTGCCCATGCTGCCGCTGCTGCTGCTGGCTTTGCTCTGTTCCGATTCTACTGCCGATCTGAGATATCGCCCCAGTGCCATACATCCAGGTGAGGGAAAAAGAAAGAAAGAGAGAGAGAGAGAGAGAGAGAGAGACAGAGGCATAGATCTAATAATATCTCTTTAGATTATCCGGGACAATGTTACTTTGAAGAGCTGAAGCAGCCCATACCCAAGTATCAGTCCTACAAGCCCATCAACCGCGAGGGCCACTGCAAGTCATTTTTCTGTCGACCGGACTATGTGCTAGAAATCGAATTGTAAGTCTCCTATATACATAAATCTTTATWATATAGTCTTGTTTTATTAAAGTTGTATATCATAGTTGTTCATTCATACATGGTATTTATATGTACATATATCATCTGGTATACTTTTTTATATGACGTACTATATGAATATCATAACAGGTCTTATCATATGTACTATATAATACTATAGTCATGTGCCTTCATATATACATATGTATATGTTGTAAAGACAGTTTATGAGGTATCTACCTAAGAATCTATCTATTTATTATTCTGTAAATCTGTTTATCTATCGATCCATCAATCTATCTATCTATTAATCTATCCATTTATCAATCTATCCATCTATCTATCTAACAATCTCTTTATCTATCTATCTATATATCAATCTACCTATCTATCTAAAAATCCATGTATGTATCTAAATATCTATCTATCGATCTATCCACATATTTCTATCTACACATATCCATATATCACCTGTAAAAAATTTCAACTAATATACCTAAACTTCTGTCGTCTCTCTCTCTCTCGCTAATCCTCTTTCCTCATATTTCTCTCTCTCTCTCTCAAATTAACTCCCTACTATATGCTCTAAATCTCTATCCATAGTTGCGGTCGACACAATCTGGTGCCAGAGAAGAACTGTAAAATTGGTTCCGATATGACTCGCATTTTTCCGCATTGCTGCCCCAAGTTGATCTGCCAGAAACCGGACACGAATGATATAAAGCCTTTAAAATGATACACAATATTTAGCACATATCATATTTTTTCCTATGTATTGCATTACAAATACCTTAAAATAAACTTATAATTTTCCAATTGGTATTAAAACAGCTGTTGATTGTTAAACATACACAATACATCTATATATGAGAAATATAAAAATATTATACTTAGAACTTAGTTACTGACTTTCCAAGGGAATATCATATAATTGATAGGCGACATCTGTTTTTCGGGATATGATTTGAAGATCGAATGTACGAAACTTAGAAAAACTTGATACAGATCCAATTAGATGTTAAGATGCAGCTTGTAAACTTACCTCGAGATCAAGCTAGAGATCTTTCTTGTAATATACCATAGAGTAAAAGCCCATCACATATGCTCCCAGCTGATGATCTATGCCAAAGTCAACTCTTCTAAAACCTCATACATTATAGAGATAAGTGCTCGACACTCATCCTCAGCTATATCTCAGCTATATACTGTTATATGTGTACCCCTGAAAGTCAGCTCTATTTGTCAATAACTCAAATGTAGTTCAAGTATTATTCATTCAATTAGTGTTTATAGGCTGCACTTTTACGCTTTTTAAGGGCAGCTCAACAGATCAACAGAGTCGAATAGAAAGAAAGCATCAGAAAATTAACTTTAAACGCAATTAACTCAATCAGAGCTGAGCGGAATAAGCGGTGGTCGTGCATCTACCGAGGGGACGGCCGAAGGAGACCGACTAAATAGCGAACAATTAAACAATTCAAATGCGAATTGTGCTAGCAGCAAATCAGAGCCAGATCAGAGAACCAACGACCCAAGATCCCAAATGCGCTGCAAAGCGGTTCGCCAAGGCTCGAATTCCCAAAAATTCATTTTATTACAAGATATTCGCAGTAATATATAATAAATA